CCCCCGAGCCCGGACATTTGCTGTCCCCAGCGGGCACCGAGGGCCTGGCTTCTGGGCTCAGGACAGTGTAGTGAGTGTGTGCCGTGTTGTTTGGGCTCCAAGGAGTGGGGCAAACTCCCCACGCTGGGACCTGAATGACCAGGATTCCAGGCTGGGCGTGCCATGATCCAAGCTGAGCAACCAGGTCACTGACTTAATGAGCATCAGCGTCTTCACTGTAATCAGGGCTCCGGTGAGAACCAAACAGGATGATGATGACTGTGAGGGTGATAGGGTGCCTGACGGAGAGATCTTCGCTTATGATGGAGGTGGACTCCCGGAGGTCATGGTTCGGATCGTTAAGTGCCACTCTGACCATGTTTCGGGAGCTAGGAGTGATTCACCAGCTGAGTCTGACAGAGTCCTCGAGGAACACCCCTGGGAAGGACCTGAGGAAACTTCTGGAACATTGAGGAGAGACTCAGGCACAGACTGGGAAACGGGGGTGTCAAGGACTCTCAGTGGGTCCGGCCACATGTGGGCCTAACCAGGTCACTTGGCTGCATCTACAGTCTTTCCATCCCGTCCCACTGCTTGTCATTGTCAATTTAGAACAGGGAGCACCGAGCACGGCTGTTACTGTGCACTGTCCCTGGGGCCGGGGCCGGGTCCTGTGCCAGCTTCCCCAGGCCCTAACTGCTCTCCCATGCCCCAGGGTCCTGAAGACTGCTCTGGGAAAAAGGAAGGATGCCACTCTTCTTCCGGAAGCGGAAACCTAGCGAGGAGGCTCGGAAACGCCTGGAGTACCAGATGTGTCTGGTGAGGGAAAGGGGATTTCATTTATCGGCTCCCATCTCCCTTTCTGCCTGTGAAACAGGGCTCTGCACTGCCCAGACAAGCTGTGCTCCCTCTCATCTGCACCACCTCCAGCCTGAAGAAACCTCTGACTTAGGCCAAGCCAGTGAGGCCCTGCTGCATCCCCCCTGCGTGAACTGCGTGCACCTGCCACTGCCCGTTCCATTCCTCTCCCCTGTGGGCCCCCAGCTCCAGGAAAGTGGGGGTCACTGGTCTACCTGTGGAATGGGCCAGGGAACCACAAGGGGTCTATGGATCCTTACAGTTCCTTAATTCCATGTTTCTTTGCTTGGATTGTCCTCTCTGTGAGGCTGTTCTGTTTAATCACCTTCCCCTGACACAAAATTCTCTTTATCTTTAGGCAAAAGAAGCTGGGGCAGATGACATTCTGGACATCTCTAAATGCGAGCTCTCAGAGGTAAACTGAGGGTAGGGTGCAGGCTGTGCATTGGGTCTCTCCTGTTTTCTTGGCTCATGTGCAGAAAAATAGATGTGGACTAGACTTTTAAAAAGCCCAGAAGCGGGATCAGCTAGTGGCATAGTAGTTAAGGCACTGTACTCTCACATGCTCAACCACGGTTCGAGTCCCACTCCTGGTAACTTGAATATCATGCCAGGTGTGTGTGAATATGTGCCCAAAATCTCAAGAGAAGAATGAAGGAGAAGGGATTGCAGCGTGGTCAACCTCTTGGGGGTGATTCACTTTCCCTCTCTCTGTGTCTCTCTCCCCAGTGAGTACATGTGCCCTATGGCAAAAACCTTAAAAGGAAGGAAGGAGAGGAGAAAGAGAGAAAGAAAGAAGGAAAGGGGAAACCACATGGGCATTTAGGAGCTGTTCTTGGCAAAGAAAAGAAGAGAAAAGAAAAGAAAAGAAAAGAAGGGACCAGCAGTTAGTCTAATGGCTATGTCACTGGACTCCCATGTAGTCAACTGCATTTTGAGTCCTGGACCCGATGGCTTAAACTCACTCCAGGCACATATGCGTGTGTGCCCAAGATCCCAGGAGGAGAATGGAGGAGAAGAGATTGTCGTGTGACCATCCCCCTGGGGGGTGATTTCTCGCTTTCTGTCTCTCTGTCTCTGTTTTTCTGGCAAGTGCATGTGCCCTATAGCAAAAAACAAAAAACCTCTCCAAAAAATAGAAAGAAAAAAAAATATTTTCTTAGATTTTTATTTCTTGTCCAAAGAATTGAGATGATCTTATGGCCTCAAAATAGTCCACAAGAACCAAAGACTCCAGTTAGGAAGTGTACCCACTGATTCCTGGGTGCTGGAGGAGTCTGGGGCCCTCTAGCCTGGGTTTGGGATGGGCAGAGGAGGGTGGGTGCAGGCTCCTGGCAGCTGGTGGGAGACGAGATAACCACATCCCCAGCAAACTTCCTTGCCAGCGTCCCCCTTGCTGCATTTTGCCCCCCATCCCTACCCCTGCCCATCTCCCCTCACAGACATCCAGAGAACAAATGAAAATCTGGCAAGAGGTGAGACACTCACCCCTTTTTCTATTTTATCTTAGATTCCATTTGGGGCCTTTGCAACGTGCAAAGTTCTGCAGAAGAAGGTGAGGAGGGTCTTCCTTTTCAGGGAGTTGCTTACTATACGTTTGCTCTTTTAAAACCACGTGGGCACTTAGGAGCTGTTCTTGGCATAGACTCCTCCTTCTCTCTGGTTCTCACCTGTCAGCTTGCAGCAGGGGTCTTCACGGTCAGGGGAGCAGGCAGTGGAGTCAGGCAGCCCTGGGTCACATCCTGGCTCTGCCCCTCGCTGGCTTTGTGACTTGGGTAACTTCCTTAAACTCTTACATCTCAGTTTCTTCATCTGTGACATGCGAACATTTGTAGTTGTAGTCTCTCAGAGGTGCTGTGAGGGACAGGTAGCGGTACAAATGTGCACAGTGTCATGGCTGCGGTGTAGTACATGCTTCTCCACCCCCCGTTGTCATGATAACGCAAGCTACCCTCATTTCATTCTGGTACCCCCGGGGGATTAAGAAGGAATGAAAGGTTTTCCAAAGGAGTATAACCCTTAGAGTGCAGATGGTAGGCATTCTGTAATGAAGCATCTAAATCAAGATACGTAAAAAGTGTCCCAGAACAGAGGAGGGAGCTGCCTGGCACTGGCAGCACTAAAGCAGTGGCCAATGCCTAAAGAAGCAGCAATATTTGACACAGTCGGGCACTGGACACGTGCCAGCCCTGGGCTCCCTCAGAGGCGAGCACTCCTGCTCTCTCTGGTTCCCAGGTAAAGAGGCCGAAGCAGACGAAGGTTAAGATCAAGACGCTGCAGGGTGATTTCTTCTTGAGATGGAAGATTGAATTAGGCCCCTAAAGTCTTGATTCTGAAGGGCATCTGGGTCCACGTCTGGGCTCTAGGGTTCTAACAGCATCCCCATCATGGTGTCTGCAAGCCTTTGGCCTTCACTCACCACTGTTCTTCAACCTGAGGTTTCACATTGCCTTCCCACACAGGTGTTGATCGTCCACACAAATCACCTGACCTCCCTGCTTCCCAAGTCCTGCAGCCTCCTGAGTCTCGCAACTATCAAGGTAAGGACCATCGCCAGGTTCAGCTTCCGGGTGGCCCAGCTTCCCGCCCCCTTACGGCTGCTCTACTGACCTTCATGCCAGCCGGGCCTCATACAGCTCAACCCAGGCCACACCAGCACATGTCTATGTGCTGTGGGTAGGGAGGGGACAGAGAGCTGCCCTGACCCCATCCTGGGCAAGTTTACATGGCAGGTGGGAGCCAAGTCAGCCTCATACGAGTACACCGGAGAGCGAGGCACTGATAGAGCAGGAGGGACACGCAGGGCACGGTGTGGTCAGTGACCTGCTGGGACGCCTGGTCATTCAGCGTGAACATGAGCCCGTGAGGGTAGGGTGCACGCCGAGGGTATAGGCATCAGAGCACACCCACCATTCGTCTGGCCCCTGGGGTTGGGGCAGTTCCCACCTCTTTATATCATTCTGTCCAGTGTGCTGTATTTTTGTATCCAGAAGAGAGTATTTTAAGATATATATTTTATGTTGATGTGTATTTCTAGTTCATATATGTCATATATACATATGTATGCATGAGTGAGGGGGCTTCAGAAAATTTGTGGGAAATGTAAGTAAAGCACGGGACCAGCAGTTAGCGTAATGGCTATGTCGCTGGACTCCCACGTAGTCGACCTCAGTTCGAGTCCCGGACGCGGTGGCTTAAACTCACGCCGGGCACGTGTGCATGCGTGCCCAAGATCCCCAGAGGAAACCACAGGAGAAGGGATTGCAGCGTGGCCATCCTCCCTGGGGGGTGATTTCTCGCTTTCTATTTCTCTGTCTCTCTCTGTCTGTCTGGCGAGCACACCCGCCCTATAGCAAAAACCTCTCCAGAAAAAAGAAAGAAAGTAAAGCACAAGTTTATTTTGGTTCAAAAAAATGTTTGAAACCTATGCATAATTTTTTTATAATATGTATTTTCCAGGAACTTTTGAAGACCATGTTATATTTATATATGCATATATTTCTGCTAGGCCTCTTTTGCTCATTTTCATTGTTAGAAAATTAACGAATGCAATTAAGCAAAGAAAAGGGAGGAAACATGTATTTCCCATTCTAGGGAAGCACTAGTAATACTTCATTGCATATTTGATGGCCTTTTTCCTCCACAAATATGCATTTATACTATGCAGTGTTTTTTTAATGCATGAATATCTATGCATACGTCTTATAGCATGTCTTTCTCACTTAACAGTAAAAGTAGTCCACACATAAAGGAGGGAGGTGGTATAACAGTTTGGAGGAGAGCGATGTGGGAATGATCAGCACGTAGTTGGAAGGGAAGGTCTGGGTGCTCCTTGCAAGAGCAGAGACGCGGGGCACCTTCTTGCTGCTTGGAGCCTGGACTCTGAGGGACTTTCTCAGTTGGTAACTGTGGGGTCTGTTTTTCTGCAGGTTCTGGACCTCCACAGTAATCAGCTTTCAACCCTTCCTGATGATATAGGGCAGCTGACAGCCCTCCAGGTAAAGCTGCAGGGAACAGGAACCCACCTCTCCTCGCAGAAGTGAGAAATCGCAGTCAGGGGACCTGCAGTGCTGTGTGGCCCTGGCCAGTACAAACGAGCGTCAGCTCCACCCTCCACTTTGCTTTTTACTTAACACACATACCTTTCTTTTTCTGTGTGTGTGAGAGAGAGACAGGTGATCCCAGCAGGGTCTTCACGCCACCATCTGCCGCGGTCAGCCAGCCTGGATTACAGACACGTGCACACTCAGTGCCGAGCGTGCTCGGGGAGGGCCCAGGATGCAGACCCGAGACCTTTCCCTCGTGGATGTAACTGCATTGCCACTGCCACACCTGACCTCTCTGCTTTTGAGACACCCAAGGACACCCTCAGCCCTGCAGTGTGGGCTGTGGTGTCCACTGCACTCTTTTTTTTGGGGGAGAGATTTTCACTGTAGGGCGCGTGCGCTCGCCAGACAGACAGACAGAGACATAGAGACAGAAAGCGAGAAATCACCCCCCAGAGGGGATGGTCACGCTGCAATCCCTTCTCCTCCATTCTCCTCTCGGGATCTTGGGCATGCACGCACACGCGCCCGGCGTGAGTTTTAAGCCACCGGGTCCGGGACACGAACCGCGGTCGACTACGTGGGAGTCCAGTGACATAGCCATTACGCTAACTGCTGGTTCCCTCCACTGCACTCTTGGCCTGAGCTTCTTGTGGGTTTGTTATGAGCTTGCACAGCTCTGTAGAATAAAAGTACCCCGTGAGCCTGCCTTCCGGGGGCAGTCAGCACTCCGACACTGTCTCCCTCCTACTCCTGTCAGTAAGAGCCTGGCTCGCTCCATGCCAGCCCCGAGCTAAGCAGGCCTTTGACGGTATTTGCCAGTTCCTCACAGCCACCCTGGAGGCAGGCGTTAGTGTTGCCCTGGCAGAGACGGAAGTGGTCTCGCATCCACTTAGGTAGACACCTGTGCTCTTCTAGGACACAAAAGGGCCCAGACAATGGGCCCACCTGTCCTCCTAGCCCCCTGCTCCTCCACTTGGCTGGCTGTCTTCAGCTCCAAAACCCTCTGTCCCCTGTGTACCACCCAGCAGGGCCTCTCCCCCAGGATCTTGGTGGGGCCATTTGGGCTCACCCTTCATCTCTTGCCCTACTGTCTCTGTGAGCCCTCCCTGCCACCCTGCCTAAGTGGCTCCCTGTTCTTGCTGTCTGTACCTGGCTTATTTCCGGAGAGCAATCATTGCCACCATGATTAGTAGGCACGTGTTTCCTGGCCTATCGACCATCTCCCCGACTGGAAGGTCATCTCTGTGAGGGCGGCTCCTGCCTGGCACCCTGCCCAGCACAGGGAGAAGCCTGAGAAGGGTTGTGAATGGGCAGCTCCTCTCTGTGGGCCCAGTTTACAGAGAGAAGCCAGGTCCAGAGAGATGACAGTGACTTGCCCAGGGACACATAGCTGTCATGCAGCAGCTCAGCAGTCATTGCTGCCACTCGGAGCCACACCAGTACCTTGGCATGGGTCTGGGCTTTTTTGTCATCTGCATGTTTTTGCAGAATTTCTGCACCCTCTGCTGTCACGTTTGTTGACTGACCTACTTCCCCACCGTCTTTGGTTCATTAAATATTCACTGGCTGCATTATTTCTAATGGTACTTGGCTTTCCACTGCATATACTTTTTTAATGGCTGCTGAGCGCGTAGGGCGGGGCAGAGCCTCACTGAGAGGGAACAGGCCTCTGAATCCATGGAGCCCAGGTTCCTATCCCAGCACCCCAGCCGCTGGCCTTGAGACCTGGACAGATCACCCGGCCTGCCTCGGCTGTTTCCTCCTTACATCCGGCTGACCAGAGCCCGATCATGTGCTGCCTCTCCCGGACCCCCAGGCTGTGAGCCCCTCATGCTCTGTCCCTCCCGTGGTGGTTACTGGGCATTTTGTGGTCAATGTAAACAGTGGGGCCTCAGCCCCACTGCGCCACTCGGAGCCTGTTTTCTCAGCTCCCAAATGGGATAGGAAGGCTATAGCTCCCTCACAGGGCTGGTAGGAGGAGGTAAAGGCAGGTGGGTGTCGTGCCCAGAGGAGGCCCAAGGCAGGGGTAGTCACTGCTGTCTGTGTCCGTTCTCGTGTCGTTCCTTCCTTTCTCTTAGGTATTGAATGTGGAACGGAATCAGCTGACATATCTGCCTCATTCCATCGGGAACCTGACGCAGCTCCAGACCCTCAATGTGAAAGGTACGAGTCAGAGAGTCCTGTGCAGGTGGCCCTCGGTCTGCTCTGGGCTGTCCCAGCGGGGTCACCGAGGGCTGCCCTTGGGAGCCCAGGAGCGTGAGGGCGGCCAGGCTGCAGCTGTGGCTGTGCACTGACCTGACCTGCTAAGTCCATCTGTCTCCACTGTGACAACAGGCAGGGTGTCTGGAGGGGTCTTGTGACTCCCTGTGGGGCGGAGGGCAGATGGGGTCGACAGCCAGGCCCCGGTGTGCCCGCAGCCTGGTAGTGAGGCCCACAGAGTTAGCAGCCGCGTTACCCCCGGTTTACAGGTGGAAGTGAGACTGGGGCGGGGCTTGCTCAAGACCACCCAGTGGGCTGGGGACAGCCTTGATCCCGCTGTCAGGTGCTGTCACCGCGCAGTGCTTTCCCTTCTCCTTCCTGTCCTCTCACGCTCGGTCCACAGGACGCTCCTCTACCCAGTTGTAGTGTGAGAATAGTGAAGACGATGGTGGAGCCCCGGGTGCCCACTGGCCACCGCGAGTTGGGCATGTGCTGGGACCTCCTGCACCCTCCCCTTGAGTCTCCGGGATGCCTGTCATCCCTGCTCTGCAGATCAGAAACCTGGGCGGCAGGCTGCTGTCCCGTCACCTAGCTAGTAGGCAGCGGTGGGAGTCGACCCCACACTCCACCTCTGTGCTGTTACACACACCCCAAAACCCAGCACATGCAGGGGGGTCAGAGTAGGCCCTGGACCCCCCAGCCTGTCCCCTGTCCTACTGGGTGTCAGGCAGGAAGCAGGTGTCAGGCCTTGGGAGGGGTCATGCTGAGCCCTTGGTACCTCTCCAGGCAACAGGCTGAAGGAGCTGCCAGACTCCCTGGGGGAGCTCCGTAGCCTGCGCACCCTGGATGTCAGCGAGAATGAGGTGCGGAGGCTGCCGCAGATGCTGGCCCACGTCCGGACCCTGGAGGTAAGCGGGGGGCCCTTGTCACCCAGGGCTCTGTGCCTGGCCCCACCCTCCCACCCACATTCCCGAGTGCCTGCCCTGGTCACAGGGTGCTGGTCTTGGCAGAAGCCAAGTCCCCTTGGAAGATGAGGTGGTGGGGAGAGGCCAGGGAGCACTTGCAGGACCTGTGTGACTCGGCTCAGGCTGCTGTGACGAAGGACTGCAGGCAGGGTTCCATGCACTCCTGTCCTGTCCCACAATCCCGGCAGCTGAAGTCCAAGCTCAAGGTGTCAGCCAGGTGGTTTCTCTGGACACCGCTGTCCTCAGAGGCTGGTTTCCTCCCTGTGTCTTCACATGACCGTCCCCCAACCTGTGTGTCCACACCCCTTCTTAGGTCACCAGTTGTACCGCGGTAGGGTCCAGCCCGGTGACCTGCCCTTGACTTAATGGCCTCCTTAACGACCTCTCTCCGGATATGGCACACTCTGAGGTCCAGGGGTTAGGACCTCGATGTGTGAATTGGGAGAGGCACAGTTCGACCCATAACAGGACTGACAGACAGGTGGCGCTCACAGCCATGAGGCAGGTCACGTGTTTCTAGTGCTCTCTCAGGCCAAGTCCCTGGCTGCACCAGCTCCCTGGACCTTCCTGTGTGATCAGCTTTGCAGAACGTTGTGTCGTACCACTGCGCTCCTCTCCACCCCTAGAATTTAAACCTACACGGTCACACGTGGCCGCCGCACCGGGCAGTGCCGTTGGAGTTTGTGCTCTTACGTCTCACGAGGCAATACTTTGGAGCCATTTTGCAGGTGAAGAAGCTGAGACACACACAGTGCAGGGAGCCTGCCCGCTGTCCACGGTTAGTAAGAGCAGAGTGGGGTGGGAATCCGGCAGTGCAGTCCAGCGCCCTGCATGCGTCACCTCAGTGGAATGGGGACTCATCTACTCGCGGTGACAGTCTGGCCAGGCATCTGGAATCCCCTCATGACCCCCAGTAGATACCCCTCAAGCCAGGTTGCTGGGCAGAAGCATCTGCCCGAGGGTGGGTGAGCACAGCGATGCCCAAAGGGACATGGCCAACCTCAGGGGCTGGTCCCCGTCCTCGGAGGCAGCCGGCCTGAGAATGGGTGGCCTGGAGAGACAAGCCGTTGTGGCTGGTTGTTGTGGCTGTTTTCCATGACATTCACTGGAACTGTCTGTGGTGATGGGAATGTGCGAATGGTGGCCACCGTCCCCGCGTGGCTGCTAGTCCTTGAAACGTGCTGGCGCCTCCGAGAAGTGCACGTCGACCCCGCTGGGTTTTAGCGAGCGTGTTATAAGCAGTTGCCGGCGCCCAACTGCTGCTATGTTAGACCACGCAGCCCAGAGCGCGCCTCCCTAACCCTGAAGCTGCTCTCCGACATCTACCAAGAGCTCCCGGAGTGATTCGTTTTACACCAGTTCTCGTGTTTCATTTCTTTTCCATGCCAGAGAGCAGGTGCACTTGCCAGAGAGACACAGAGAGAGAAAGAGAAAGCACTCCCTGAGGGGATGTGGTCACACTACAATCTTTTCTCTTCCATTTCCCCATGCTGTCGGGATTTGAGCACATGTGTGTATGAGTTTGCTATTTTTCAAGCTGCCAGGGGTGGGATTTGAATCACAGTCAACCTTTAGGATCTGGCCTTGTTAACTGCTTAGTTATGGGGCTGCCCCAAAGAGCATCAGTTTTACTGCTATCATGTGCCCCCCTAAAATTCAGTACTTAAATGGCTGCATGTGACTCGTAGCCACCTCCCCAGGCAATGCAGCCCGGAGTCCATGCTCCTAAGCCTCCGCACTTTTCTGACGGTGACTAATACTACCTGTGTCAGGTTCATTTGCTTTAGATCGGCTTCCGGGTGGAGTTTTCTGCTCTGGGACCCCCTTGCCTCCTCCCCCCAGAGACAGGAGTTTTCACCTAATACACGTGCAATGTGTATTCACACGACCCTGCTGCATGCGAGGCTGTGCTGGCCAGGACTGGGGGGCCTGAGCCACCCTTACTGCCCTGCATCAGTGTTGCTGCAAACAACTTCCTAGGCCTTCCCTACTCCAGTACTCCCCGGCCCTCAGGGCCCAGAGCATGTTTGTTCCTGAGAGGCCTCAGGTATTCCTGCCTGCACTCAGTGGATCAGGTTGGAAGAAGCTGGCAAGAAGAGGGCTCTATCTAAAAACTCACACCATGGGTGGGTACAGCTTTGTGGGGTGTAGGAACCGAAGCCCCCCCTTCCTGAGCTTTGTAAGCACGTAAGCACATGTGTGCATGCTCTGATGAACCTTTGTCTTGTTTTGCTTAAAAAGTCATACTGCATCTAGTTTTCCCCTCTGTCTCTGTCTCTGTCTCTCTGGTGAGCACATGCACTTATGACAAAAAACCTAAAAAAATACACACACACACACGCACATATATAATATATATATATATGTACACGTGCATTAAAATACTGACCCAGCTGCAGTGGGACAAATAAAACTTCCAGGCCTCAGGCCAGCCAGTGGTGTGGTTAAGGTAGCCGGATCCCAAATTGACAACAGTGCAGTTCAAGTCCCAGACCCAGCAGCTTGAAAAACACCCCAGATGTGTGTGCATGTGTGCCCAAAATCCCAAGAAGAAAATGGAAGACAGGGCGTTGCTGCATGGTCCCTCCCCCATAAGGGGGTGCTTTATTTCTTTCTCTCTCTCTGCATCTTTTCAGCAAGTGCACGTGACCTATAGCAAATTAGGAAAAAAAAAACAAAACCGCAAAGCCTTAGCCATGCCAGGCGTGTCCTGGGTGCGGGGATCCAGTAAGAAGGAACTGGGCAGCACAGCCTTTCCCGTCCTCGGTGCGCCCCCTGCTGGGCGGGGAGACAGACAGTGGGCACGCAAACAGCGAAATCGGGTGGCTTCCCACTGTGCTGAGCAGGGAGGCCAGCCTCACAGTAAAGACGGTCCCTATGTCCACAGACGCTGAGCCTCGACTCCTCATCCATGGTCTACCCCCCGCAGGAGGTGTGCAGCGCCGGCACCGCGGCCATTCAGCAGTTCCTGTGCAAAGGTAAAGCCAGGCCACCTGCCTGCTCGCCTCAGCGAGGAAGCCTGACCCCACTGGGCATGTGCTGGCCACAGTCCCTGCCTCCCGGAGATCAAGGTCCTACGACGGAAGCAGGCAGAACAAATGATCACACAGGGAAATAGACCGACAGACTGTGGTCACGTGAGCGTGTAACGGGCGTGCTGGGCCTCATTCAGGTTGGGGCCATGTGGAAGGCCATGTGAGAAAGTGGCTCAGCTAACCCTGAGAGTGGTTAGGACTTAGACGGGCAAGGGCCTTCCCAGCAGGAGGAGGTGCCTTGCTGAAGGATTTTAGGAGTGGGGAGCCAGAAGCATGGTGGAGAAAGGAGGCTGGAGTGTGCACACACAGAGAGGAAAGATGGGGAGTGACAGGTCGCAGGGGTGTGGTGGATAAGGTGGCCAATCCCACATGGCTGACTGTGCAGTTCAAATCCTGAACCCAGCAGCAAGCACTTGTGTGTGCATGCTCAAAATCCTAAGAGAGTGGAGGAAAAGGGATTACAACATGGTCATCTCCCCTGAGGGGTAATCTCTCACTTTCCCTCTCAATGACTCTCTCTGGTTTTTTTCTCTTTTTTTTTTAATACTTTAAAAAATTTATTTATTTAATTTTATTTATTCATTCATCAATTTAAAATTGACCAGAGAGAGATACACGGGGGGGGGGGGGGGAGAGGAAAGAAAAGTGTCCACCAGGTCCAGGACTCAAACCGTGGTTGGCCATGTGGGAGTGTCCAGCGCCTTAACCACCATGCCACTTGCTGGTCCCCTCTCTGTTTCTTTTCTGTCCGGCAAGTGCACATGCCCCATGGCAAAGCTAAAAAATAAGAAAGAATTGACAAAGATGTAGGAACGGCACATACGGAGTCCTATTCGTTGCATGTGGGAATATAAACTGAAAATTACTTTTAAAATTCTTAGCAATTTTGGGGCCAGCAAATGGCATAGTAGTTATATTGCTGGACTCCCACGGGCCTGGCCTGCCGGACCCAGTGGCTTGAAAATCACACTGGGCACATGTGCGTGTGTGCCCAAGATCCTAGGAGGAGAATGGAGAAGGGATTGTGATGTGACCACCCACCCCAGGGGGATGATTTCTCACTTTCCCTCTCACCGACTCTGTCTCTCTCACCCCGGCAAACGTACACACCCTCTGGCAAAAATCTCTAAAAAACAATAATATTGAACAGTTTCTACCCACTTGAGTATGTAAGTGCCTCATGCCCCAGAAGCTCCATGCCTAAGTGGATGCCCAACAAAAGTGCTGAAAATACATGCCAAAAGCCACATGCAAAAGTGTCCGCAGCAGCCCCAAACCCTCGTAGCAGCCCAAACTGCAAGCAGCCCAGATGTCTGTCAGTGGTGGAATGGGTAAAGAAACTGCGTATCCCCGTGTCTGACATCACACAGCAGCTGGAGAGAATGAACTACTGTTACATGCAGCAGCCTGGGTGACTCTCACGGACAGGCAGAGAGCGAGAGAACCAGGTGCAGAGGAGTTCGTGCACTAATCAGCCAGCCCCCGAGCTCGAGCCGGCACTGACTTCCGGTTACAAGGGTGTGTTCATGTAAGCATTCATCAAGCTGTCTGGGAAGACTTTGTGCTCTTTTCCTTTTTATAAATTGCCAGAGGGTACATGGCACTGGCCAGAGAGATGCAAAGACAGAGATGGAGGGAGACAGCACCTGCAATCCCTTCTCCTCCGTTTCTCCACCTTTAGGGGTTTGGGGCATTCACATACACACATGCCTGGTGTATTTTTCAAGCCACCAGGGCCGAGGCTCGAACTGCACCATTGGCCATGTGGGGCCTGGCTCCCTTAACCAGTAGGCTGTGGGTAGCCCCCTGCCCTCCTTTCTGTATGTTATACTTAAGCTTAAAAAGGAGAGAGGATGACACACCGATTGCACAGTGACCAGGCCGCACAGCAGCCATGTCAGTGTCTGAACAACAGGTAACTCTAATGTGCGCCCTGGCTGATAGTTAAGCTAAACTCAACCCTCTACTTTTCTAAATAAGATTTTTAGGGGCCAGCAGGTGGCATGGTGGTTAAGATGCTGGATTCCCACACAGCCAACTGAGGTTCAAGTCCCAGACCCAGTGACTTAAAAATTACACTGGTTGCATTTTTATGTGTGCCCAAAATCCCAAGAGGAGAATGGCGGAAAAGGGAGTGTGGTTTGGCCATCCCCCTGGGGGATGATTTCACACTTTCCCTGTCTCTGTTTCTGTCTCTCTCCCTAGCTCTAAAAATAAAAACTTAATGTTACGTAGTATTTAGGTATGAGGTAGACAAAGAGTAAAGCCGTGAACGTGTGTGCATCACTACCCAGCCTGAGGAATACTCTTCCGACTTATTTAAGCTGGGCGGGGCCAGCAAATGGCAGGGAGATTAAGGTGGCTGAATGCCGCACGGCCTATTGAGTGGGTCGAGTTCTGGACCCAGCAGCTAAGAATCACAGTGGGTGTGTGTGCACATGCTCCAAATCCCGAGAAGAGAATGGAGAAGGAATTTCGGCATGGCCAGCCCCCCTAGGGGGTGATTTCTCACTGTCCCCCTCTCTCTCTGCTTCTCTTCAGTAACCTCACGCTCTCTCCTTATCGCAAAAATCTTTTCTTTTTTTTAAGAGAGATTTTTGCTATAGGGAACATGTGCTTGCCAGAGAGATAGAGAGACAGAAAGTGAGAAATCACCCCCCCGGGAGGATGCCCACACCCATTCTCCTCCATTTTCCTCTCAGGATTTGGGGCATGCACGCACACGCACCAGGCATGAGCTAACTCAAACTGCAGTCGACTGTGTGGGAGTCCAGCAAAGTAACCATTACGCCATCTGCTGGTTCTTTTCTCTTTTTTAATAGGCTTTTGCCATAGGCTGTGTGTGCTTGCCAGAGAGACAGAGACAGTAAAAGGGAAAGTGAGAAATCACTCCCCAGGAGGGTTGGCCCTGCCTTCATCCCTTCTCTATTCTCTTCCCAGGATCTTGGACACACACACTCACACAGTCCGCATGATTTTCTTTCTTTCTGTTTAAGAGATTTTTGCTATAGGTCACGTGCGCTCACTGAAGACACAGAGAGAGACAGAGAAACAGAAAATGAAACAGAAAACGAGAACTCACCCCTCAGGGGATACGTCCATGGCAGTCTCTTCTCCTCTATTCTACTTCTGGGACCTTGGGCACATACTCATTCACACCCAGAGGGAGTTTCAAGCCACCAGGTTTAGGAGCGGAACAGTGGTCGACGATGTGAGGGTCCAGCAACATAACCGCTATGCCATCTGCTGACCCCAGCCGGTGTGATTTTTCAAGGCACCAGGTCTGAGACTTGGACCACAGTCAGCAATGTGGGAGTCCAGTGATATAACCACTACACCATCTGCTGGCCCCAAGAAAAAATCTTTTTTTTTTTTAAGAAAGATTTTTGCTATAGGGCACATGCGCTCACTGGAGACACACAGACAGAAAGGGCGAAATCACCCCCAGGAAGGATGGCCATGCCACAATCCCTTCTCCTCCATTCTTCTCTCAGGATTTTGCTCACGTGTGCACTCACTCTTGGCATGAGTTTTAAGCTGCTGGGTCCAGAACTTGAACCTTGGTCTACCATGTGGGAGTCCAGCAATGTAACCACTGTGCCATCTCTGCCCCCATGCACAAATCTTATTTTTTTTTTTTTTTGAGAGAGGTTTTTGCTATAGGGCACGTATGCTCACCAGAAAGACAGAGAGAGACAGAGAGACAGAAAGTGAAAAATCACCCCCCCCCGGGTGGTGGAATGGCCACGCCATAATACTTTCTCCATTCTCCTCTTGGGATCTTGGGCACACACACGCATGTGCCCGGCATGAGTTTAAGCCACCGGGTCCAGGACTCGAGCCGCAGTCGACTACATGGGAGTCTAGCAACATAGCCATTACTCTAACTGCTGGCCCCCCCATGCACACATCTTAAAAAAAAAAAAAATTAAACTCATTCAATTCAGAAGGACACCATAACCAAAGTTAAAAGATAAGCTACCACCTGGAAGGAGATAGGTGCTACACGTATTTAGACCCAGAGACACCACCTACAGTAGGCAAAGAGCATCTCCCAGTCAGCAAGAAAAAGGCAACAGCCCACAGGAAATGGGTTTAGGGGTCAGCCCTTTCAGATTATGCAGGAGGAAACCCTACAGGGCCAGAGAAGGAAAGTGTCCTGCCCAAGGTCTCACATGCAGGAAATGGTAAATTCTTGGTCAGGCTGGGTCTTGGTCCCTGGTTTCTCTGCTAATCTCCGGCATTCTCTCCCACTTCATTCTCACTTGGATGAAGAGGCAGCCGGATGCATTGAGTCGCTCACTGACATCTCCTGAGCACCTGCCAAATCCTAACCCAGGGCTCAGCACCAGCATCAGCTCAGGACTGCGGGGAGGGGAGTGCAAGCTCCAGAAGGAAGAGAAGGACCAGGGCTGCAGGAGTGGGAGTTTCTGGGGACCGTGCTGTCCCTTCCTCGTGGTCAGCTCGCTTCCATCTGTCTCTTGCAGAGTCAGGGCTGGAATACTACCCCCCTTCTCAGTACCTGCTGCCAGTCCTGGAGCAAGATGGAGCCGAGAACTCCCGAGACAGTCCTGATGGGCCCACGGACAGGTTCTCGAGGGAGGAAGTTGAGTGGCAGGTAAGGTGAGACCACCTGCCTGCAGGCGTGTGCGGGAAGGGACTGGCACGTTGGCAGAGAGCGGTATTCAGAGCTGCAGACCCTGGATGCCTCCACCAAACTAGAGTCCACCTCCATTCAGACCATGTGTGTAGGAGAGGCGGCCATCACCGGGGAGCGGGGAGCAGCAGCTGCCTGTGGGTTTGGTTTCATGTCTTCCAGTGATTCCTTCCTCAGTCTCTGGTTCCTAGATGCCACCCTTCCTGTTTCCTACTGCTGCTGTGAGTGCATTTGTGGTTTACATTTCCTCTGACAGTGCAATAGGAATGGGAGAGGAAAGAGATCATGTTGGGAAAATCGAGCCAGTTTATACTCTCAGGAAGTATTTGCAACATACATGGCTGTTAGAGGATTAGCAGAGCAAACATAGAAAGTACTCCTCCAAGTCAGTAAGAAGAAAACCATCCCAATAGAAAAATAGCAACAGATCCTTCATGGAAGAGAACAATACAGATGGTCAGTACACTTTTGAAAATGCCAGCCGACTGGTCATCAGAGGTACATGCATTCAAAGAGCAATGGAATACCATTTCCCACAGACGGCACACATGTCGGCTTGGTAGTTTCTGTTCCCAGTAGCTCGGGAAACGGTGTCCCCATAAACTGCTCTTGAGAGTGGACCTTGGTATCACCACTTTGGAGGCTAATTTGACAGTAGACTAGGGGATCTTCAGAAAGTTCTTGGAAAATCCATACTATGATTTCAAGCTGATTTACTTGTACGTTGATTCCAGTTTTCCACTAACGTTGTAAAGTCCCCTAAGTCCAAATTTTAAATGGGCGTGTCTCATGACCCAGAGTGTGGTCATCCCACAGTCTCCTTTCCTCCATTCCTCCATCCTGTTGGGATTTAGGGCACACATGTGCATGTGACCAGCTTGTATTTCAAGCCACCAGGGCCGGGACTTGACCTTGGTCAGCTATTGGGGATCTGGCTCCCTTAACCACTGCATTACAGCTGGCCTGGTCGTATACCTTAGCTGTGGTTAAGGTAACATGACTCTGAATTGATCAGAATTCATAGAACCATTTACTAAAAAAGGGTGACTTTACAGTAAGTAAATTATACCTTGATTTTAAAAGTTTATGTATGTAGGGAACCAGCAGTTAGCGTAATGGCTATGTCGCTGGACTCCCACGTAGTCGACCATGGTTCGCATCCCGGACCTGGTGGCTTAAAACTCATGCCGGGCGCGTGTGCGTGCATGCCCAAGATCCCGAGAGGAGAATAGAGGAGAAGGGATTGCGGTGTGACCATCCCCCCTGGGGGGTGATTTCTCGCTTTCTGTCTCTATATCTCTCTCTGTCTGGCGAGCGCACGCACCCTATAGCAAAAATCTCTCCAAAAAAAAAAGTTTATGTATGTACACATATGCAAATGTATTTTTTCCAAAGGCACAAATGGTATGTGTTATATGTATATGGAGGCATGGACTTGATTCCGTTAATTAGTTATGTCTGTCAGGGGTATGGGTGGGAGGGAGCCAGCACAGAGTGGGAATGTTTGGCATGCTGCTGCTGCCACTGCCGCCTCCTTCCTCTTTCTCCCCCTCTCCTCTTTCTCTCCCCTCCTTCCTTTTTTCCCCCCTCTTCTCTTCCTCTCCCTCTCCTCTCCCTCCCCCCTCCTTCCCTTCTCCCCCTCTCCTCTTCCTCTCTCCTCCTCCCCTCCTCTTCCTCCCTCTTCCTCTTCTTCTTCTTGCTATAGGGCATGTGTGCTTGCCAAAAGGAAGATAGAGAGAGGTGGAAAATGAGAGCATGCCCGCAGGGGGATGACCACATCATAATCCCTTCTCCTCTATTCTTCTCTTTGGATTTTGGGCACACACGTATCTGTGCCTGGCAGCATTTTCAAGCCACCAGGTCCAAGACTCAAATCACACAGCTGGCCAAGTGGGATCAAGCCACCTTTACCATTCCACCTGGTGGCTTAAACTCACAGCAGGCATGTGTGCGTGCGTGCCCAAGATCCCAAGAAGAGAACGGAGAAGAAGGGATTGCAACGTGGCCATCCCCCCGGGGGGTGATTTCTCGCTTTCTGTCTCTTTGACAAGTGCACTTGCCCGATAGCAAAAAAAAAAAAACAAAAAAGCTCAAAAAAAAGAATGCCACATTTTAAATTTTTACAAGGAGAACATATTAAAATATTATCTATATAATTAAAGATTAAATTAAAAAGTATACTCTTGAGACCAGCAGATCCCAAAATGGTTAAGGCACTGGATTCCTACATGGTCAACCGTGGTTAGAGTCCAGCAGCTTGAAACCCACGCCAGGTGCATGTGCACACATGCCCAAAATTCCAAAAGGAGAATGGAGGAGAAGGGATTATGGTGTGGCTCTTCCCCCTGGGGGGTGATTTATCGGTTTCTGTTTCTCTCTCTGTCTCCCTGGGGAGCACAAGCACCCTATAGCAAAAACCTTTCTCTCAAAAAAAAAAGGATACTCCCATCATTGATATAGGAAAAATTCTATTTCTTTATAGAACTCTGCTTTTACAACTCAGAGACTGGTCCTGGTCTCAGAGCAGGGCAACTAAGTAGAAGGACCATTTAAAAAATCTCTGTGTGTGCGCCTGTGTGTGTGTGTGTGTGTGTGTGTGTGTGTGTGTGTTTTGAGGTTTAATACAAAGTCATCCGTGCTCCATGTTATCAATGTAAACACAACAGACAATTAGGAGGTGTGTCGTTTCGCTTTCCATGGCTCCAGTTGGCGCCTGTGTGATGTCAGGCTGCCAGGGGACTCTGGGGCAGGTGCTGCCATGCCTCGTCCTAACCCCTGTCTCTTTTCTCTTCAGAACAGGTTCTCAGACTATGAGAGGAGGAAGGTAAGAAAATGCCTTTTCTTCTTGTTCTCTTTGTTCTCATTAAAGATTTCAGCTCAAAATATAAGGGTCTTAAAAAAGTTTATGGAAAAGTATACTGTATTACAAAAAATTCTTTTGCATCAATATAAACTTGTATTTTAATACGATTTTCCACAAACTTTTTGTATTTGCGCCAACGACTTCTTCCTGGCTCTAAACTAGAGGGTGAAGCGAAGCTTTCCTCTCACATGCATTTCTCGCTGCATCCTCACATGGCTGGGAGAGGTCTCCGTTCTCCCATGAGGAGACGGGCTCCGGGTAAGCCCAACCGGCCCCTGCCAGTGAACTGCCTACCTTTATGTTTAAACTTTTTTTAATAGAGATTTTTGCTAAAGGATGTGTGCACTCACTGTCGAGACAGAGAGAGACAGAGAGACAGCAAATGAGAAACCGCCCTCCAGGAGGATGGCCATGCTACAATCCCTTCTCCTCCATTCTCTTCCCAGGATCTTGGGCACACATGCATATGCGCCCGGCATGAGTTTTTGGTTTTTTTTGTTTTTTTGTGTTTTTTTTTGAGAGGTTTTTGCTATAGGGAGCGTGTGCTCCCTAGAAAGACAGAGAGAGACAGACAGACAGAAAATGAGAAATCACCCCCCTGGGGGGAATGGCCATGCCGCAATCCCTTCTCCTCCATTCTCCTCTCGGGATCTTGGGCACACATGCACACACACCTGGCATGAGTTTAAGCCACCAGGTCCGGGACTTGAGCCACAGTCGACTACATGGGAGTCCAGCGACATAGCCATTACGCTAACTGCTGGT